GTGTGTGATGTTGTTCAGTTGAATTGAATCTCTATCTAAAAATGATGTGGGAAAACATTTCTCCTTCCTTACTCCTCAGAGTTGTATCGGCAAACCTCCAACTGAAAAATAATTGTAGAATATGAACGCAACCCAGATTTCCAATGTTACGATTCCCTGCGATCAAAGAGAAAAGTCGAGGTTGTGAGTTTCCGTACTTCAGAATTTTAGGATACAACTTTAGGATATAGAGTGTTTTTGCGCAGATTATTGTAGACCACACAGAAGGTAATCTAGGAGCGTCAACATTGTCAGGCCTGATATTGACCACACGTTATAGTTTCATTTGGATTGGACAGAGCCAACAGCAACAGACTGGACTGATCGATGGGTGTCTGTTTGTTTGTCCTCGATTTGAAAGTATTCTCCATGAGTTTTAACACGGACCAAAGTAAAAAAGCAATATTTTACTTGTGTTTGACATCAGTTCTCTGTGTTTTGGTTATACTTTTACTTCATATCCTGTTCTGTGTCTATATGCACCTGTGCTTCTCTCCCTTTGTTGCTGGTCCATTGTCTTTGTCTATATTTTTACACCCAGGACTTTTATTTCAGGAAATCATTATTTTTGCATTACCTGCTTTTTGGGTCCTGCTCATGACACCCCACCTGTTGCTTAAAGACGATGTCGGCCTTAAATTGTGTTTTGTTTTTAAAATAATGTGCATTTCTGACCACATGGGACACTGTACAATTATGTAGAGTAGCTATTTTTCAACAATAATATACAATTTTTACTTTTCTTGGCAAAACCTTGACTGGTAAGATCTGTTATTTTTACTGTGGAATACAACGCAAGTTACTGTGACAACGCAATTTTCCTTGTGGATCAATCTGTCTAAGTCTAAGTTGCTGGAGGAGAATAGTTTAACCAATGACAAGGAGCCTCAAGGGTTTTAATTAATTTCGAGCAATCAGGAAGCTGCAGAGGTGGGCGGGTCTAAATAGTGCCCAAGTAACTGCCATTCACTTGCACTGATATTTTCTCTTTTATATCCGACTGACACCACTCATCTTGCGTAAACATTGCTCAAGGATCCAAAAGCAGGTCACACCTCCCCAAAGTTGACAAGAGGCAAGACTTAAAAATGGCAAATTACCCCTGGAGTAATTCTGGGCTTAATGTGCTCGGGGCACATGCATAAGACGCTCTTTATGTGGTGATGGGGCTCTTTCATAATGTTGCTAGTTTGACTTTACAACGGGCCATTACACAAGCTGCGGGATGTGCTGTTTTAGCTAAATGCCTCGTTTAATGTTGCTTGCTCATCGCCGCTTCACACATGTCCCCCAGTCTTCTCGCGGACCAAAACAGCTGATATAAAATATGTAAGACGGATACTAATAACTTACACTGCAAAACACGATAAAATATAAGGTAATAAATGCTTGAATAATGTGCAGTTGTGCAATATAGTGTAATTCTCATTCAAAGTGAGAATTTGTGTGTCTCTTTTAAAAACGGACACTTTTTCTTGTCCCAAAAGCAAATCTTGTTTAGTGAATGTCAGTGTTGGGATGAATTTTCTGTAGATAGGAGTTCCAGGGTTCTCTTTCTCTTCAAGATCTCTCCTTTGGGTGTGATTATTTTCTGTTATGTTTGCATGTATCTTGTAATTTTTGTGTGTAATTAAATGTCCTATTATTGGGTTTGGGGGTAGTATGTAAAAGCAACCAATAGACTTTCAGTATAACAGTTAGTTTTGAAACATTGAAGAGGGGATGTAACTTTTTGAAGACAAGCAGTGGTTGTCATTCCGGGGTCGTGCGGGGTATAGCAGCTAACATCCTCACTTCCATCCTGTAAAAGTTCTGCTAAACTACCTCCTATAGCCTCGTGCTGTTTACATCTTGCCAACGTCTGCACTTTATACGCTTTATTATCACGATGATGCTCAAAATGTAATCTTGTTGTTTAAATCATTGAATCTTGGTTAAATCCGCCCATGCTCACCTCTGCAGTTTTGCGATCGGTTGAAATAAATTCATATCCTTGAGATTCTTGGTTTAAAGATTCTCCTCTAACAAGTATCAGGGATCAGAGTTTAGCCAAAATAGTTCCATCTAGTTTTAAAGTTTATGATTCCACCATTCAATCCACCTTTTGTCACTTTTTTCACTAGTTGACTCTGAGCCTTATACTTGGGTTTGTGAGAAAAGCAATTACAGAACAGTACATTTTCCAAAGTTGAAAGTATAAATTGTAAAACTATAATCAAAGTACGTGGTGTTGTTATGAGCAACATAAATGATGAGTGACACAACATTTCTTTGTTTGTTCACTATAAATAAAAGTATAGTTTCCAAGCTGACAGAGTTTTGGATGAAATCACTTGAAAACTTCCAATGTTTATCCGCCTATAAAAAGGTGGAGAGTTAAACCGGTGATACAGTGGATATTTTACATTGAAAGTAAGTCTAAATCTCAAACCACAAAAAACTAGTAGTTCCTCGCTCTCAAATCAGTTTGGGTCCATTTCTAGTATTCACATGGCTGTATTTTTGGCCTCCGTCATATCTGTGGATCAAATTTTTCAGACAGAAAAGTACAAAATAATAATAAGAGGAAATAGTGACCCACAGGACTCTTTCTTTCATGCTGTGGTCTGATTACTTTACACACGTATACTTTTACAATACCCTTTCTGGTGGCACAAACAGTATAAACAAAAAACCCGAGCTTTAAAGTAGCAATATGTAAGATTTTCATGTCAAGTCATCATTAAATGGCCCTAATCTGTCAAAAGGCTTTAATAAAACATGTTCTTTTTGAATACCGCTTTAACTGATAACAGTAGTTCAGCCGAGATATTTTGATTTCAAAATTAGTTTTACAGCCCATAAATCTTGTTATTGTTTTCATTTCAATGTTTCGCCCTCCACCTTTTTACCAATCAGAAAGTCCGTGATCCGGGTTGCCAGAACTCACAGCATCGTGTTAATCTCACTGAAGTAACATGTGGCCGCAGAACTAAAATAGCTCTTGTCATGATTCTGAAATCATTAATGACAAAACAAGGATTTCTATCGGGGCCTTTGTGAAAAAGGTGTTGATTATAGATTTGTTGTTGACAAAACTCTTGTATATTCAGTTATATACGCAGAATATACAGTTATCTGGCAACCTGAGTCAGGGGGAGTGGGAGAGGTTGCAGTACCACTTTTGGCCAGATTTTTACTTATTGCTCCAGTAAAATGCACCACCAGTTTTAAGTACGTCCTTATTTGTCCTTACTCGCTCTTTGAACCTGTAATAATTGTTAAAATATACAAACACAACAGACAAAAGCAGTCCTGAAGGATGCTTTGCCGCCGCCAGGCCCTGACCCACATTCCGTGAGACATTTCCAGCCGGGACGCAGGAGGCAAAAGCAGCTATCGTGTTGGTTGCGTCTTTATTTACACACACTTGGGCTGGTATGTGCGCGGAACAGAAATAACACACAGCTTCTCATCATTCTGTCAACAAGGGCCAACGCCGGAGCTCGCGTTTCCACACTGGCCGCTTGCATCAGAGCCTTTGTAGAAATAAGCCCCTAGTGCGTTGGCTGATTACTCGGAGTGCTAAATGTCTAAATGTAAGAGTGTGAGAGTGGTGACAAATAGACCCCAGTACTAAGGGCACAGGGAGAATGTCTGGAAGAGAAAATACAGAGGATTTGGTTGTGCTTATTTTGCATGACTCAAGGCATCACAAATCTCACGAGCGTTTAAGCCGTGGTTGCCTTTTGACAGGGGAAAAAAAGTGATGACTAATGTTTTCTCTGTCGGCCTAAATGTGTGGTCGAACTAGGGCTGCAGGAGTAATCGCAATCGAATCGCAACATTTGTCGATGGAACAAACAAGTCTCTTTGGTCTTGTAGTCTCACTTTCTCATTCCAAAGGATTGTGGATATTTAACATTTTTGCAGAAGTTTTTTACTTTGACGAGGAACAAAAATAGCATGGGAATTGTGTATTAGGTAATCGCTACGTCTACACTTGAAATAGTTTTTTTTTCACTTTTTAAACATGCAGGAATTGAATATCACAATCTCAATGTTGCACAAAGTAGAGAAGAAAAGAGTAGATAGATAAGTTTCAGACAAAGCAAGTAAGAGCATAGGTGCTGAAAAGTTTTTTTTCTTGGCTAAGCTCACAATCCTTTCTTGCAATATGCAATATTCGCTCACCACCTCAGAGTTTGTTCCCAGGCTGGATTATGTCAACATGAAATAAGCCTCTTTCTTGAGTTTGCATGGCAGATTGTTTCCATTTCTTTTGATTGATGCACTTTTTAATGGTGAACCTGTGGAAGTATTCTGCATAAACTGCATAAACACGATCCAGAGTAAAATATACAAAACTGAAGAAAACTGCGAGTGATGAACTAAAATGAACGCGACAAGAACCGGGAGTGAACACAAGAGTTTGAATAACCAGGACTAACGACAGGTGAATAAAACAGGAAATGAACACATTCATTGAATTTACACACATTAAAGCTGGGGTACCACAGTGTTTTCTTTGTTTGTCGCAACAGAAATAATTAGTAAAAGTAAAACGGTAAAAAATGTGAAGAAATCCAACCACAATGTACTGTCTTCATCTGATGTTGTATGACTGAGTGAGAGTGGTCCTTGCTTTTTACTTTTTTGTCTGAAAAGCAGATAAACTAAAGACGTGAATATCCACACAAAAGTGATTGATTCAAACTGTTAAAGAGCAAAGAAAGAACTGCTAATGATTTTATTACAGTTATTTTTTTGTGGTATGAATTGGGTACCCCAGCTTTAATTTGCCACTTTATAAAGCCTTTAGCTCTGAACAAATTGCTCCAGGACACTTTCATTGCAGCAGCCGAGATTCTCATAAAGATTTTGTTTCTGTATTTAACCATAGGATGTTGGAGAAAGCTCCCGGACCTAAAAGTTGAACAGTATTTTGCCCATTTATTTTTCCCCACAAAGTTTCGTCCTACCTGTCCGCAGCCGGGGCAGTCGTCTCCGTTCTCACACGTCCGGCGCCGGGCCTGGATGCCTCCTCCACAGGGGACGTTACAGCGCTCCCAGGCCGACCAGGCGGACCAGTACACGTGAGGAGGGCAGGGCAGGTGCTCGTTACAGTATCTGAGGGAAACACAGCAACGACATGTTTTTATTCATGTCTCTAATCCAGCAGAGGATGTAAAGTGTGTGTTTGAGAGTGAGAGTGTAGGACAGCAGATGTAAATCAGCCCAAGAACACAAGGAGAGGTGTGTTCATTAATATGCACTGTCCCAACCAAAAAACAATAGATACATGTCTCAGTTTGTGTGTAATGACTCTGTTATAGATGTCATAGAAGTCGAATTGGAAAGCTACAACAGATAAGTGCCATTTGAAAAATATTGGAAAGGATTGAAATGTTCTTTTTACCAAGCAGTTGTTGAAACGCCAGACATATTTTGGTACCATAGAAAAACAGCTTCACTTCTTCTTGAGCAATTTATTTCAATAACAAATACATTGTTGAAGATTGGAACTAGAAGAATTCACCTTTTTGAACAGATACTCTTCAATTACAGAAGTTATATTCAGATTTTAAAGTTGTTATTTTGGTCTTTCTGAAAAGTTTTTTTTTCTATATTCTGCAAAAAGTTTCTGTAAATTCCAGGATAAGCAGAAGTAGTGTAGCTTGGTCCGGTAACTACTGGACTGGAGAAGTTGGGAAGCAGGTGTCACAGTGGGGCAGCGGTGGTACTAACTTATCTGGGACATTTCCCTCTGCACGCTGGGAGTGAATGTGTTTATGAATGACTGATTTCTACTCCTCGACAGCTCAGCTACACATAGATACTGTAGCAGCTTACCATCCCTAGTTTTAGGGGAAGATAAAAGTACACTGAATGGAAGTACTTTTTAACTTATTGGGTTTTTGACTAGTTGACCAAATATATTCTATACATATATTAAAATATGTAAATAAATACTAAATTTGCCTCCTTGATCTATTACTCGACTATTTATACGATCATATGACTATTTAGCTTAAACTGCATTCAGAGGTGGGGCGACAGTAGCTCAGTTGGTAGAGCATTGGCCTTTGAGCCTGAAGGTCGTGGGTTCAAGCCCACCGTAAGACCTACTTCACGACTCCCACTGATGACTGCTGTCGTTGTGTCCTTAGGCAAGACACTTAACCCCACTTTGCCTGAAGCCCCCATTGAAAGATCTCAGCTCCTGTGGACTCACCACCTGCAGGAGGATCAGTGAGGGGCTGGTGCTCTGTGAACTGGGTGGCATCTCTGGCCACCCCCCCGACCCAGAAATGGATTAAGGGGAAGAAGATGGATGGATGGATGGATGCATTCAGAGGTAAAATGACATAAAAGGCACCAAAAAAGGAACATACATACATACCGGTATTTTTATATTTTATTTTTATTTTTATTTGTGTGCCAATACTAATTCCTTGCTCAAAATTCAATGGGGTAAATGTGAAACCAACTGCAAAATGACATGACAATCAAATATGTCAAATCAAAATGGCAAAAAACTACTATAAAGGCTATTACCCAGCTGCAGTATTTAGCCATTAAAAAAAGGAAGAATTAAAGTATTGAAGCAAAAGTTTGACCTAGTTTGAATGTTCTCGGCAAATTTTCTCCATGTTTTCTAATGTTTGGAGTTTTTCCAAAGTTACAAATGAGGGTTTACTATCGACGAAACAGCTAAAGACAGACAAGACTTATTATAGATGAACTAAAACCATAAGTGGGGGTAGCAATATGGACTAAGGCAACATTATAAAACATTAAGTCTGTTTGACAAATTAAGATAAGAGAACCTTTATTCGTCCCACACTGGGGAAATAACTGTTTGGACCAGTATTTGTTCAAATAAATCAGTGTCATTTAGGCTTTACTGAATCCTTTCCATTATAATATATTCATAAATTATCATTCATCCCAGGCGTTTATGCAGATTGCAGGTTATAACATTTTTGGCAGTCACCACCAATATTTTGATTAAATATGAATCTCCGTTAGCGAGGTGCAATACGGTTATGTGAAAAATTACTTGCCTAAAAATTATAATTTGCTGAATCTAAAAATATCTGTAGACGGTTGAGTGCATTTGTTGGAATATTCTTCGCACTTCACAACAGCTGCAGCAGAGTTAACTTCAGACGTCAGGTGTAAATGATCAAAGAATCTATTAAAACCACCAAAGACGCCAGTAAACTCTTTTTCCTTATCACTGTCACCAAAATAAAGCTGAGGTACCTAACTTTGTTTATGAATAACACGAGGAGATAAGGCTAGCACCATCAGTCTCCTGTTTAATTCCCTTCTTAAAGATTTTAAACTGTTAGTTTTATTGTTTTGTCTTTCATCTTGTGTTTCCTCTGTCTCCTTTGTCCTCCTGTATCTACTGTTCATTATTTATACTTTGTGTTATCGTGACTGTTTTATTGTTTATTATGCTGACTGAGCAAAAACACAGATTTTCAAAAGTGCTATACGGGTGGGAAGCTCAGGGTACCTCACGATACGATCCGATACGATACACAATACAAATCTCACGATGACGATTATATCTCAATATGACGATTATCAATACATTCACTCAACTCTGGATTCAAATACAACAAATATACTCTGTTGGCAGTAAGGTTAGCTGAGATGTGTTTCTTTGGCACTATCTGGGTCATAAAACAATATGTTCAGGCCAAAGCAGATTATTATGATGCAAAAGCATATCGATAATCACGATACACTCACACTCCTAGCTATACAAAAAACTTTGTATCATTATTATTGTAACACATACTGCCTATACATAAATAGTTTTTTTATGAAGTAAAATGTTGTGATCAAAGCAAAACACAACATACTTTCATCATCCAATCAGAAAAAACGTATGTATGCTTGTAAGAAAGTGTCCTGGAGTCACTACTTGACTCTTTGGGGCTGAGAGCTGATTGGCTGAGCAAAGGTGGTCCTCTCTTTTTTCTCTTTTTTCCGGTCTGAAAAAGCTGATTCTGTGACGGAGGCCAAAAACACATCAATGATACACGAGTTGTCGAGCATAACACCCGCAGGGACTTTATTACAGACTTCCATAAGATGCGGCTTGAAAGTTACGCACCCCAGCTTTAAACCCTCGTCACAGCCTCTGTCTGTTGTGGTCAAGCGTCTCCGGGGTTTACGATTCATTTAAGTCAACTTTACTGCTCTTTTCAATCACCTTCAATATGTATTTCACAGTTCATTTGTGATAAAACACACAAAGACGCATGCATCACTTCTAATTACCTGCTTTTTTACGTGACAACTTTACTGCTGCGTCTACTATACTTTAATAACTCACTCTCATTAACAATCACACCGAGGCTTATTGCTGCCATATAATAACTTTTATATCTTTTACACATGCTGCTATAAAAAACGGGCTTTATTGTGCTTGTTTGGAGGGAGCGGACTAGACCGGTTTCGTCAAAGGTCTCATAATACTTTATGCTTGAATTGTGTGATTTTCTATTGCACTCTTTTATAACAGCGCATTCTACATTTAATAATACATTCTTTTAGCTGCGTTTTTCACATTTTCCGCCGTTGAGTGCGAGTTATCATTGAAGACATAATAATAATGGCGTGATTTCATAATGGGCTAGTCAATTAACTGCAGGCGCTTCAGCAAGAGATACTGTATGAGTTTTTATGAGTGCTTTAGAGTATTTATCTGTGGAGTCATTCACCAGTATTTCTTAAAAGCACTTAATTTCGCCATAAAACAAATGATTGTGGTTTCATTCTTCTTTGCTTCGATTATTTTTCTTTATAAAAATCATGTAAAGTTGTGGAGCCACCTGCATGTGAAAGCCAGATTCTGTCAGACATCTGAAGCTAAGCATGGGCAGGGCCTGGTTCGCACTGTTGATGGGAGACGTCTGGGAACGCCAGGTGCCGCATACCATTTAGTATGGTGTGTGTGTGTGTGTGTGTAAATGGTTGGTGGTGGTCGGAGGGGCCCATGACACATACTGGTTGCGTCGCCTATGTCAGTGTGCCCCGGGGCAAATGTGGCTACGATAGACGTTTATAACCACGTGTATGGAGTGAAAGAATAATACCATGTGAAGTGTCTTTGAGTGCCAAAAAACTGTAACCATATGACTTTATTGTCTCCGTAGGAAAATCTATCCTCTGCATTTGACCCATCCTGAATGGCACTAGGGCCTCTGTCCCCAGCACCCGGGTTCCCTTGTCTAGATGTTGATGCTCTGTTTGGTCAGAACGACTTGAGGTGGAGTAATATATCTATCGTACAGTACATGTGTTTAGTGGTTGGGGAAACAGAGCATGGAGGAAATCTACACAGACACAGGGAGAACATGCAAACTTCACTCAGAAAGGCTTTGTTTTTGGCCGGAATTTGTTGTCCTGGCCTTCCCTACTGCTCTAACGTCGCCAGTCAAAGTCAAACTGATGATACACAATTTTTTAAAGTTTAAGAATTTCTTCAAGATGGATTTTTTTTCCTCATTGAGACCGACTTTGAACGCATTACAATGAAATCAATACACACAGGACAAGCTTTGAAATGACGTCCGTGCATAGTTTATCATTTTAAGTAGGGTTTGGGGCCCCTATTCCCCCAAACGTTTCTAATGATCCACGTTAGGCTGAGTAAGCAGAGTGGAAGCCGCGTGCGTGCTCCGGGAAATATCAACACAAGGTTTGGTTCATAAAGCAGGATTTAACTAAAGCGGCACACTCTGAAGAGTTACTTTATCTTTGAAAGCGGCGAGAGAACAATCAGGACGGATCAAGAGTTTGGACCTCTGAGTCTGAGCTGCTCACTCTGAATGAACGCTGACATAAGGACTCCTCTTTGTGGCCTGACTGGGAATAAGGCTTGGGCACAAATCCAAACAATGCAAGACAATGGACACAACTTTCGCCTGAGACACAAAAACGTAAAGACTGAAGCAATTTATGAGTAGTTATCTTGACAATATTTTAAGCATGCTATGAGGGGACTCCAGGGAAGACATCAGGGAAGCTTCTGGCCTGGGAACGCCCTGTGATTCCCCAGGATGAGTGGGAGGACAGGAAAGCCTCTACCTGCTGCCTCCACGAACAAAATCAATCAATCAAACATTTATTCGTGACAATAAATACAGAGGAAACAAATGAATGCATGTTCTACAATTTTGATGATCAAAAATACCTTATTGTGGTTCATTTGTTTTATTATTGTCTGGAGCTTAGGCTTTTTGACAACTGCTTTTGTTGTTCTAACACTGTCATTTTTCAAAGCTCCTGCAGATGTATTTTGAAACATGCTGTTTTTAAAAATGTAAGCTTCGAAAAATGTCTAAGTTAAGTCACTTTTTATTCTCTCCATAGGGAAATATGTCTTCTGCAATGGGCCCTCTCCAGATGTAGTAGCTAGGCTTGATTGGGGCTACTGGGGCTGGAGGTTTTTACCTATTGTACATGTTTATAGTGGAAAGGCAAAGTAAGACACCGGCAGGAAATGTGCAAAGACACAAGGAGAACATGCACACAGACAAGGCCGCATCTGGAGGTGGAATTGAACCCAGGACCTCCTTGCCGCAAAGCACATGGTCTAACCGCTGTGCCACCATCCCACCCGGTCATACACTCAAAAGTAAATATCAAAGCCTAAAGTAAACCAAAACCATTGTTGAGGCCATGTAACAGTTACTCTATTGGGAATACATGCTAGAACAATAGATTTGTTGTGGCGGTAACATTTTCACACTTTGAATTTTATACTTTACGTTGCATTACACCGCTTAAAAAGGTGCCATTACCCATTCTCCTTCTTGTAAAAGGCAGACAGACAGGATAACTGTGCCTTTTCAAGTGACCATAGCAGCTCCACTTCTTTATTCTTTCATAGCAGAATCCTTTCCGCCCTCGCAGCTGGCCTCTATCCGGCCTAAGGTGTTTTAAACGGCTGAACAAAGCACATATTCAGAATAGCGAGATCAAACAAGCAAAAAAAACCCAGGCTAAAGAGAAGGACCACAGGCGGGTGGGAAAATCAAAATGCGCCTTGTGATCTTTAAGTTGTTTCAAGTTTGGAAATCTTCTCTGCACTTTGACATTAAGGAAGTGAGTAAAAGAGTTAATAAAGGGGCATTATGTAACTTTTATAGATTGATTGCAACCTCTTTAGTGCGTCAAATACTCAATAGATCTCCGTAGAGCTGTTTTTGAATGCCATTGAAAGAAGAAATAAAAACTGCATGTATTTACTCCAGGTATGGAATTTGAAGCAGACACTGTACTAATAAAAATAGTCAAAATACAGATTTAAAGTGCAATAGTATAGTACCACTGTCTTACATTATCTGAGTGATTCAAAACGTGAAAGCAGAAGAGAAAAAAAACATACGTCAAAAATAAAAACAATGTCCAAGGGTAAGGGAAAATGTAATTCCAATGTTTTATGAAGTTTTTATTTGCCCCACACCATGGAATAGAAATGCTTCCTCACAGGGTAGAGCCGAGTAGGGTAGAGTTGGGTCAAGTAGGGCTGGTGGAAACAGGGCTTTAGTGGCAAAAACAACTTTATTATGTGAAGCGAAACAAATAAACTTGCCTTGAGATTGCAAATATTAGAATAAACTGGTTGAAAACTTAACAGAAGAGTTTGAGTCAGACATAAAAACTTGTGCCCACTTCATCTGACCTCGATGACAGGGACTTTTCTTTATTCACTTCATGTCATGTTCAAATGTTTTCTCTTGGCACAAAATATATTCTTCTTCAAGGCTTGAGGGTTGCTTGGAGACAGAAGATTGATCCTTACAAGGTGAATATTCCTGGACTTCAAATAAGAGTGTATAGAAGCACAGCTGTTGTTTAGGCACAGACCGACTGTATATCCCACAGACTCCTCAGTTATCGGACACCGGAGACAAGTCGGGAATCACGATACATATTTTTCAAAAGGTAAAGCCATACTTTTAAGTTTGTGTGTCGGTTTTAACCTGTAGTATTATAATTTCTACTTTAACTTGTATGTTTTTTGTGACAATGATGTAGAGTGACCTTGGGCTGTTTGGGCACTTATAAACAAAATGAATCATTATAATTGCTATTATTAAAGGGGTAGTACTTTTGTTCTCTAAATTGGTTGGATTAATACAGACAAATGCAAACAAATCAGAAAACAATACTCACTCTCACCTTATGGAAAAAAATAATCTTTTACATACTGAGAGCTCATTGACTGAGTAAGGGATGGTACTCCAAGGATGTGACAGGTGCCAAAAATACATGCACGTGGGAACGATTGATGGTTAAATTGTATTACGTAGTTCATTTTTTGTGGTTTCAAAGTTAAACATGTGTGTGGGTACAGTGATTTTCGTATGGCGCAAATCTAATCAAATCACTCTAGCTTTAAGTGATGAGTGATGAGGCCACATTCACTTGTTTGGTGGTTTTACATACACAAACTCAGCATTTTTCACCCCAGATGACCCAGAATGTGTCTAGTTAAAGCAAACCAGACTAACAAGTGTGATTGTGTCCTTAGATAAACCACCCCTTGCTGGACCTGGACCCTGTAAAAAAAAAAAAAATGCCTGTGGGGTGTGGTTGGTGGTTCGTACCGTTCTTCTCTGTTCTGACCCACGCACACTCGTCCTCCGTGCCGCGGGGCTGGGTTACTGCACGAGCGCTGACGGACCTGGAAGCCGATGCCACAGCTGGTGCTACAAGGCGACCACGATGTCCAAGGAGTCCACGCTCCGTTTCTATGGAGACACGAAAGAGTTATGTCGAGGAGAAGCTCAACCTAACAGACAGACGCACACATGCTCATGGAAAAATAATGTATAGTTGGAATTTTGTTAGATCCGTCCTGCTATAGTATCATATGGGACTTGTTTAAATGAATATCTTTTGTATCTGAGAAAAAGAACAACTAACTCCAACTTACTTGATACTAAAGATTTTTCTCAAAAACATCTGTAAATTAGTGAGCCAAAAAAAAAACCCCATCAACACTTGCCTCAAGTTTCAAGCTGTGAATAGACATGATGTGACAAGCAAAACGTGTGAGTTTAACAAGGAACTCTGGAAGGAGAAGGTGTAATAATGCATAAATGTTTCACCTCGAGTCGCTATTCAAATCTCTGCAGATTCAACTATAGAGCCCACTTAGAGCGCATACCTCCTACATTTTTGTCCCGTGTCCCATTTCCGACGTTTATGGGAACATTTTGTAAACATCTGCCCATAACTGTTTCACTCCATAACTTCCTCCTAACTAACTAACAGAGACACACACCCTACCTAGGTTTGTTGGAGGAGGTGAGAGATTTGAAAAATTTAAAGAAAGGATTGCACTCTAAAAGTAAAATGAGACAAGTGAAATGTAAAATATGAAACATTTTGGCCACTATTCCTTCATAAGATGTTTTTTTTTTTTCACACCAGCGCCAAAAGAGAGCATCTAAGAGTACGATGTTTAAACGTTTCATAACATTTTCCTTTATCTGCACCTCACCTTGAGTTTTTTGTGTGTGTGTTTCCTCTTTCTCCAGTGCCTCTAAAGAGTCTTACCTGGAGCAGTTGGCCACTTCCACACTGATGCCATGGCACTGCTGTCCTCCGCACTGGGGGGCGGGGCTATCGCAGGCCCGGGTCCGGCACAGACACGCCCCCACGTTCCCTCCGCCGTCACTATGACTGCACATGGCCCAACTGGACCAGGCGCCAAACCCCCCGTCCACCGTCACGTTACGCACCTGAGAAACACAGAGAAAAAAGCATTTAATAATATAAAAAAAATGGCAGAGGTGGTAGTGGTACTTGTCTGAGGGACTTCTAAGTATACAGGGGAAAGTCGAAAGTTCATTTATTTCTACAATTCAACTTAAATGTGAAACTGTTTTATGATATAGATTCATTACATGCAAAGAGACAAATGCCAAGGCTTTGTTATAATGTTAAGGGGTGACAGTAGCTCAGTTGGAAGAGCATTGGCCTTTGAGCCTGAAGGTTCGAGCCTCCCACTGATGTCTGCTGTCGTTGTGTCCTTGGGCAAGACACTTAACCTCTGGGAATACCAGATGCCACAATGAGGCGGCTGCGGCTGCAAAGTGCCAAACTGTCATTGTGTCCTTAGGCAAGACACTTCACCCTTCAATGAGTCTAGTGTGTGTGTGAATGGTTGGTGGTGGTCAGAGCAGCTGATGGCACAGACTGGTTGTCTCTCTTCTGTCAGTGTGCCTCAGGGCAGCTGTGGCTACAGTAGTAGTTTATCACCACCGTGTATGGAGTGAAAGAATAACGACTTGTGAAGCGTGAAACTCCAACTCTGGTAAAGAGTAAAGTATTGAGATCTTTCCCCTACTGAATATATTGAAGAAAAAAAGGTAAACATTGAGGGACAATTTATCAATAATCCTTAGCTGCCTGCTACCTCTGTAATATTGTATGTAAGACAGAAGGGTTCTTTAGACTGGTAACTTTGGCCTCTTTGGTACGATTGATATTTCTACTTATATGACCATAAATAAATACCACCATCAACTTCTCAAACCAACACTTAAAGGTACACAGGAGGATTTTCTACCTCCAGGTGGATCAACAAGACTATTGGTCGTCCCAATTGTCAATCATTCTGGTGATACATGCTTGTCAAATAAGACCTGAGAGTTTTGCTCAAAAAGTGGAGAGGATGGTTCTTTCCCAAAATGCGGGAAAATCTTGCTATATACAGTACCTTTAAGTGATAAGTTGAGTGAGAAGGGATACATTGTTTTGTGTTCGCAATCCCCTCAGGAAGCCACACCATTTCTTAAAAGTAATGGATATCCTGGAAAGCACTCATTACAACTTAGGTAGCTGTGGTTTTGGGAAACAAAGCTCATGTGGCAGTATCCAAAATCAATTTCCCTCAAACTGATGCAAAAATAGCTACATTATGAGCATCTCTGCCACATCCCAAACAGTTCAGTCACCAGGACACAGCGGCGTAAACACAAGAAAGATGTATGAAGATGGGCTGCGGATATGATGAGACAGAAAAAAAAAGAATTTCCCGCAAAATGAACGCTGTGAATCGAAGCATTCAAATCACAGAAAGATGAGGAAATAAAAGGCGGCACATAAATAGAGGTTTGAAGCGAAACAGAATGCAGCGGGACAGTTTGAATATTACTCGTGACGTCCAAGGGCACCGAGGCTAAGCACAAAAAAAAAGAACGAAAATATATCCTTTGCCACACGATAAGAATACTTGTTGCTACTTTACAGGACGCCATTTGCACCAGTGAAAACCTGATTGGGGAAAAAAAAAGCATCAGCTGTTTTGGAGGAAGACAAAATAATGCCTGTCCTTATTGGTAATTGAAAGCTGTTGCGAACCTCGATTGGGAACGGTCGGCGATGGCGTCCAATTTTGTATAGATGAGTTGGCTCGGAAGCAAGAAAAAAGCCGATATTACATCTGTTGCACCTATCACTTACAGATGGGGCAATAAGTGATACGGCAGAAAGATGCAGCATCCAATCAGATAATATTCCTCCAGAGCATTAGGTTTTAATCTTTTCACCCTCTTTCAGCTTCAGCAGACGTTTTTGGAGAAATACGTTGGTGATCCGAATGGCTTTTTTCCCCTCTCCCTTAATTCTTTCCCTTCCAGACCAAGCATAGCATTCAAACTTGTGTGGCTAAAAGGGGGTTAATAAGCAAAAAAACATGTTTGAAAAGCCATGTCACTTCTGCAGCTTGTCAAAACCAATAATTCGACACTCACGAGAAAGTTTCGGAGCAAGACGTTGAAAAGCTCTGTACAAATGAGTGCAGTATTATAATACAAGCTAGTTACCTTTATTTAGAGCTCTCCATTGTCCTGTGATGACGTGACTTGCGCAGGTTCAAGGAAGGCAATTACGCAAATATTTCTCCGTATTTCTTATCATTTGAAGGATGCTCTATAGATTAAACCTTGTAAAGACAGAATTGTGCTATGAGGATAAAATATTTCATTAGTTTTGTAGAGGCAGCAGTCATAGCAAAGGTATTCAGTCTGTCATCTCCAAAGACGTTTTCTACAGTTAAAGCAGAAGGTGAAAGAAAGATTGTGACGCACTGCAGACACAGCCTCGACCTCCAGGTCAGCTTCTGATCTTAAGTATTTGATTATTGTTTACAATTTCTTACGCAACCTTTCTCTTTGTGCGTGTATGAAGAGAATCTTGTGGCTTTGATTTTAGCTGAGTACAGTAATATTATTTATTTTAGTGATGCTTAAAGCTAAGATACAAGTTTTTCTTTTGTCAGGATAAAGTAACATACCCTTGCCTGCAAGCTGAATTCTTGCGGTATTTGTGAGTTCACAAACACTCGAGAATACATCTTGTCCCGCTCCCACCAACCCTTTTTGAGTAGAACATCTAGGTGTTCAAGCCAATCACGCGCCAGTCTGGGGGTTTAGGGCGGGATATCCGGGTTTGACGAAAGCAAGAAGTGCCGGGCCGAAGCAAAACAAACATGGCTACGCAGGAGGACGGACGCGTAGCTGAGGCTATCAAGTCAGTTTTAGCAAAATCTCCAATTTCTTTTTTGAAAGATGAACAGCGAGAGGCGCTATGTGCATTTTTGGACGGCAAAGATGTTACCGGGATTGGTTTAAGTCAAACCTTGGTAGGCGGGCACACAGCGTCACTTCGCCCAATCAGCTTGAAGTATTCTGCTGCTTATCCCTCCTTTCCCCGAAAGGATTCTCCTGCAGAAGTCCCAGATTGATATTGTGGAGAACGCATAAGAGTTCTACACAATCATCAATCTGGCTCTTGCCAGGTTAAAAGTAACATGTTGTGAACAAAGACAAACTTCTAAGAAAGAGCCCTGTGAGTTACACTTTGACGATTTGGTCTGAAAGCTGATTGGTTGAGAGAGGGGGCGGTCCGCTTTTTTTTTTTTCTTTTCGGTCTGAAAAAGTTGATTTAAAGATGGCAAAATAAAAATGGATGTGCAAACCAGTGGGGGCGGGTCTCGGCTCAAAAAAGCTCTATGAGCACGTGCGCTGAACATGCTTGCGATCTCACTCAGGCCGGTGGTGGTATACCCGGAAACAGAAATATCCACTGAATTCTAATGACGTCTTTTATCCTCTATAAAACGGCTTTACAGGATGGTCCAAAAGTCGGCTCTTGGCTCAGTGCTCCAGATGTGTGTCAATGCCGAGGGGAGTATTGTTTTTCAGCCTAGTTTAGCCGCTGTGGACGTTTGAATGGGGCTAGTTCCGGCTAACGCATGCGCAAACGCGGTTTTTCACATTTTCCTGCGGGAGGGGCTGCCCGCGGCCATTTTGAATCTACCCATGTCTGAGGCACATACACTTCAACGGAGGAAATAGGCGTCAATAAGTCCGTTAATATTTGCTATCTATGGCTCAAACCAGTGATAGAACGGTTTTGAGAGCAATGAACTAGTTACAACTGAAGGATTTTATCTAAAGTTGCTAAAGTTAGAGATTATATACTTACTTCTTCCATTGACCTAAAGTTGGGAATTGCTAAAGTTCGAGATTTTTTGTTATTGTTATAATTCATTTATCTTGTGTCATGTTCTCATGGTGATGCAACACTGAAATGTCCCCACTGCGGGACGAATACAAGGATCTCTCGTACTGTACTGTCATAATTTAAGATTGTAATGTCTTATGAGATTGGTTTTATATTTTGTTGAGCACTTTGAGTTGCATTGTGTATGAAACGCGCTACACAAATAAACTTGCCTTGGCCTTACATTCATTCCTGTAGCTTTTTGCGGTCAGAAAAATAGGTACTCCAGCTTCAACGCGGGCATGTACAGTATTTAAATGCACATGGGCTAATCGCCACATAGCATAAATGAATAAATAAGTTGAGCATTAGCGATTTCACTCGGGAATCTGTGCATCTGAATTCATGAACACGGGAACATATGGGCCTGACGCGGGCGAGCATACAGATTTGTACTTCTTAATGGATACAAGGCGTGCCAACCGCCACGGCTCTGCTAAGATAACAGATGCCACTGGACACTTGACCACTCCAGTGTTAAATAGACCTCTGAAACTAAAGCCGAGAAAGGACTGTGACACATGGCTCGCTCATGACCGGAAATATCAATGTTATTTTTTTCTCCCTCGGTTAAAGATAATTGAAGCCTACAGATTTGAGAGTTTTTTTTTAAGTATGTTTAAGTATTTTACAAGGGGAAATCTTACTTTTGAGTCCTTCCTGTTCACAATTCTTCTGCTGTATGTGCTGTGTTCCAATTACCCCACCTATATTGTCCCTTATCTTCTTATATATTATTAGATTAAGATTTTGTCCCACGGTGGGGAAATGTTGGTGTTGCATCACAAGTTACAGGACAGTAGAAATGAGTTCACAACACAAGATAAGCAAATATTAAGTAGAACTCTACACTTAAAAATCTCTATAATGCAAAAATTATAGCTCAATATTTCTCAGTGTCAAGTGTCAACCTTTTATCGCAACTTTTCTGTAAAATACAAATGCTTACAATATTATCTATACATAAATCAGGTTATAATGTCCCAGGAACAAAAATATATCTCTGTACTGTAAATGAAATGAATACTATGAATAATGACTAATAATGAATAATAATAAATACTTATATGACATAATAATGATAACTAATAATGACATAATAATGAATAATGAATTAATTAGACTATGAATACTATGAAATGAAAAGGCCCTTACAGACAGGAGAACACTGTTTTTTGGACCGTCTATAATGGCCACGTCGGCCCCGGACAACAGTGGGAAACGGAGGCGTGTTGTTTTGACCCTTGATTGACTTTCATCACGGGTAAGACAAGATCGTGTCAAAATAAAAGTGAAAACAAACCCTCTGATTTTCACAATACTCCTCTAAGTACCCAGGACCCCAGGGAATTGCATCATAATGGACTACGACAAGCTTTTCATCCACGGGGTGCAGTATAAACATTTACAAACAAATATTTTTTTACAAGGACAACTTTATATAGGAAAGAGCAGCACATGCAAACACCCAAACTTTGATGGTACAAGCTTCACTTTCGTTACACTACTTGTTAGGCTGTCATTTTGCAAAGTATTGTCCCTCGTGTGACTTCACCTGACCTATGTAAGCAATGGGCTAAAACAGTTTAGTTTTACTGAGTTTGAAAAATGGAAATTCCAGACTAAGAGGAAAACAAAATGTTAAATAAACTGGTGATAAAGACAATGGTCTGACAATAAAGGATCACAGGGTACAAATACTCACAGGTCAAAAACATTAAGACAGGGCAGGTAATCAAGTAAAAGTCAAATAAAGACCATCAAACCAATATATCAAAGTAAAACCAGGTAAAATATAATCAACAGAAAGCCCACACCATGACAACCTCACAAGGTTTATGGCCGGAGAAGCTATTGCTCAGTGGGAATGCCCTTATGGATTTCACCTCTGTGTCCAAACTGCTCTTTTAAGTCACATCACTCAATCCCTAGAGTCAAAACAACCAAGACCATGTTTTGATCTCTGGCTTATAGCAGCACTTTCTTCTAAGTTGCAGAAGTAAGAGGAGAATACTGAATAGCTTTGATGGAAGAACCAATATGACAGTGACGAGAAAAGATATCCAATAACCAAAAGCAGCTTGCAAACAAGAACATTTCAACAATTTATATGCAAATAGTACAATAGCTCGGGAAAACGCGTATCAATGGGCCTCATGAGCAAAGCCATCCCAGTGCATTTTTTTGATAAAGAAGAAATGATGAGCTATCATAAGAGTACTATTGCTGTGAATGTATTTAATGCTGTTTGTTTTTATTTTGTATCTTTTGTCCCAGTTAAGAACTTTGGGCAGATGGTGTTGTTGTAAATGTGCTATACAAAAAAATCTGACATTGACATTTAATTATAGATTATCATGTGTGTTACGGACGAAGTCCTTTTGGTTTTGGTATTTTTGTTTCTCCTTGCCTCCGCCTCCTCAGACCTCCCTCCCACTGACGTCTCACAATGCACCTGTGGGCTAATCACCTGGGAGGCATTAAAAGAGCTGGCTCCAGACCAGTCGCTCTCTTCCACTTGGGCCTGGATCCTGCGGCTGCACACCAGTGTGACCTTTTTGTGCATTTATTTATATGTAAATAAACCTTGTTACTTTTTAGACCCCGTTTCCTGTCTATGTTCCACCCCCCGGTTCTTTTTGTGTTACTGAGTCACACTCTCTAGACTTCAACACCTAGTGGCTCGTAATACGTGGGGGCTCGTCCGGGATCCAGTGAAACTGCGGTGGGTGCACCGGGAGTTGTGCGCTCTGGGTGAGTCGCGTGTGTGTGGGTGCGTGTGACATTCAGTGGCAGTCAACTCCAAATTGACCCAGCTAGACTAGGGGGGTGTCCAGCTTGGTTGATTTATTCGCCATTCCTTCGGGCATCCGTTTTTTGTTTTAGTTTATTATTTTCGGGACGAATCCTGGGCGGAGTGGATTCTCTGACGGGGGCTGCACGCCTCGAGCCCGGCAAGTCCCAGAAGATATTTAGGTTAAGTTTTTCCTGAGTAGGAGTCTGGGTCAATACCTGTGTTTGCACTGATTTGGTTTTGTTAAGGCACCCTGCATAACCTCTTTTCACCCGTGTGCGAGTGTGAGTGTGTGTGCGTAAGCTTTGAGCGCAGCTGTGTGCGGGCGCGTGCTTGGCACATCCCAGGAGGCGGGTCGAGTGGAGAGTGCCATCAGGTGTTCCAGTTGTGAGTGGGATCAACTGTGATCAGCCCGGTGAGTGATGGCTACGTTTGATTTGGAAGCATTTGTGGCTGAGCCAACGCACGTGGCGTTGGAGTTGTGTAGAAAAGTAGATTTGCTGGAGATAGCGCGACACTATGCGATCCCTGTGTCCCCTGCGTTACGCGCGGGTGAGTTGAGGGAGGCTATACTGGCAGAGTTGGTGGCCAACGGGGTTGTGGTATTGCCTGTGTCGAGTGATCCAGTGGCAGGAGCGGCAGTGGGAGATGCAGTGGTGTCCCCCGTGCGTCCTGGAGTAGAGCGCGTGGAGCAGCCGCAGCTGGGCTCTCCCGCGGCGCTGTTTGAGGAGGCTGAGGAGAAGTCTCCTGGTTTAGGGTTGCGCTCCCCTCGCGATGCACGCGTGGATGTGCGCATTGCTCGTCTGAAGCACGAGAGGGAAAAAGAGGAGCGAGAGTTTCACTTAACGTGAAATTGAGTTGAGGCGTATAGAGGTAGAGGCTGCTACTGCTCGGGAAGTAGAGTTTCGAAAGCTGGAGGCTGACACCGCGTTAAAGATGCGGCAATTAGAATTGCATGCAGCGGGTCGCGGTCCAGCTCCCTTGTCACCTGTCAGTGCGCACGAGTCATTTGATGTGACTAAAAATATACAGCTCGTCCCAGCCTTCCGTGAGACTGAGGTCTTATTTTGGAGTGTTTGAGCGCATTGCAGGGGCATTGCACTGGCCTAGGGACGTGTGGGCGATCCTTTTGCAGTGCAAGTTGAGTGGAAAAGCCTCAGAAGCGTGTGCGTCTTTGTCTGTCTCTGACAGTCTGAATTATGACTGTTTAAAGGGGGCTATTTTGCGTGCCTATGAGCTGGTGCCCGAAGCTTATAGACAGCGATTTAGGGGTCTCCGCAAGTCATTCAGCCAGAGTTATGTGGATTTTGCGCGTGAAAAGGGCCTGCTATTTGACAGATGGTGCTCCGCGAGCAAGGCCGGTACTTTTGAGTCTCTGCGTGAGCTGTTTCTCATAGAGGAATTTAAGAACTGCCTCTCAGAGCGCGTTGTTGTTTATTTAAATGAACAAAAAGTGAGCTCTCTTCAACAAGCAGCTATTTTGGCAGATGAGTTTTCGCTCACTCACAAGGCTGTCTTTCAGCGGGAGCCCTATCCAAAGTCTGAGGAGAGGCCCAACGTTAGTCCTGCAGCTAGTTCTAGGCCCGAGAAGGCTAAGCAGTGTTACTTCTGTCACAAACCCGGCCATCTGGTGGCGGATTGTGACTCATGGAAGCGCAAACAGCCTGCGCCCACCATGTGAGCACTATAGTGAAAGGCATAGGCCTTAGCTATGTGCCAGCACCGCTGCACAATGTCCATGTTGGGTCGAATCTTGTTAGTGGAGTATTCCCTGTGAGCAAGAGGCTGAGCAAGAGGCTGAGCAAGAGGCTGAGCAAGAGGCTGAGCAAGAGGCTGAGCAAGAGGCTGAGCAAGAGGCTGAGCAAGAGGCTGAGCAAGAGGCTGAGCAAGAGGCTGAGCAAGAGCTGAGCAAGAGGCTGAGCAAGAGGCTGAGCAAGAGGCTGAGCAAGAGGCTGAGCAAGAGGCTGAGCAAGAGGCTGAGCAAGAGGCTGAGCAAGAGGCTGAGCAAGAGGCTGAGCAAGAGGCTGAGCAAGAGGCTGAGCAAGAGGCTGAGCAAGAGGCTGAGCAAGAGGCTGAGCAAGAGGCTGAGCAAGAGGCTGAGCAAGAGGCTGAGCAAGAGGCTGAGCAAGAGGCTGAGCAAAGACTCAGATTCCGTCCGGAGGCTGAGGAGACCCTGGCTTTTAATGTGTATGTTGGGTCCACTTGTGTCCCAGTCACTGTCTTCACAGACCACAACCCCCTCGTGTTCCTGTCCCAGATGTCCAACCCAGATCAACGGCTGATGCAGCAGGGGGCGCTGCTGACTCTGGACCACACCGTCTGTATCCAGCACAGGAGGGGAAAGGACCATGTTGTGGCTGAGGCCTCATCGTGTGACTGGGGACACACATCACCACTTGGTCGCAGGTGGTGGTGGCATCCATATCCTTTCCCATAATTGTTGTTTTTTGGAAGCACTTGTTTTCCTGTTAAAGAGGGGTAGACCTTAGTTTTTATGGGGGGAGGTGTTACGGACGAAGTCCTTTTGGTTTTGGTATTTTTGTTTCTCCTTGCCTCCTCAGACCTCCCTCCCACTGACGTCTCACGATGCACCTGTGGGCTAATCACCTGGGAGGCATTAAAAGAGCTGGCTCCAGACCAGTCGCTCTCTTCCACTTGGGCCTGGATCCTGCGGCTGCACACCAGTGTGACCTTTTTGTGCATTTATTTATATGTAAATAAACCTTGTTACTTTTTAGACCCCGTTTCCTGTCTATGTTCCACCCCCCGGTTCTTTTTGTGTTACTGAGTCACACTCTCTAGACTTCAACACCTAGTGGCTCGTAATAATGTGTAATTTAATTTTAATTCATCTGATGGCCAATTTTTCTGAAAAATAATCTCTGAATCACAACAAAATCTCACACTTTTTTCCACAGCTCAGAGGTGGAGTGATTGACAGATCTAAGTCCCGACTCCCACACATACACACACCATTCAGGCTAATTCACATTCACCAGCCCCCACTGACAACAGAACTTACAGGACACTTGGAAATGCTCTGCTCCCATTGGCTCATCCGGACACTCTCCTCCAGGGTGGTACACTTCTTCAGGAACATATCCCAACCACAATAGGGGTCCCTCGCTCCCACACAGGCTCTGCAACGAGAGGGACAGACAGAAGGATGGAGAAAATTAGCTTTTATTATCCTGTGACGAGACGAATAAAAATGACATGGATTACGAGACCAAAAGCAGATGAAACTTTGAGAAAAAAAAGCAAAGTTAGAGGATAAGAAGGTAGAGTGAGTGATGAATGCACAGAGGAAATGAGAGAGATAAGTTAGAGAGAAAATAGCAGTGCGATGAAGGAAGAGGGGAGGCCATTTTAGACGTGAGTAACTAGGGGACGACAGAAAACAGTGTTAGATAAGGCATGGTTAAAGATTAATAGAGTCATATATGGCGTCACACCTAAATTACCAAGGACATCAGTTTTTTCAACTGCAGTGGCTGACTTGGGTGTTTGCAATTACGGATTTATGGTTTTAATTTAGCCTTGGAGAAAGGCTGACGATGGGAGAGAGATGTAGAGACAAGGCCCAAAATCGTCCTGTCCTCCATTTTATAACCTCTACAAACATAATTCTTGTCATTTTAGTGTAATTTGGCAGACTTCTTACAGCTACTGTAGGAGGGGCAAGTTTTTATGTTCAAGATTTATAAGTTAGTGTAAATGAATGCATGAAATAAACTAGGAAAAAACACGACTGAGATTGCAGACCTCAGCAGGAGGTACAATTCTTCCTTAAAAAAAATCTGGCTCCAGAAGGTGATCTGGAACACCTCCAAAATGTAATCATGGGTCCCTTTTCTCATTTCCAAGCTCTACTGAGAAGTTTGTAAAAATCCGCTCATACATTTTTGAGCAATCTTGCAAAATAACAGACATACGTACAACCCCAGGTGATTACATTACGTCTTGCTGCAGGTAATAATATGAAAATTCAGCTTTTGCTCTTAGAATCTAGCAATTTTAGCAATAGTACATTCAAAAAAATCAATGCGATTTATAGTGAGACTGAGATGTCACTTCAGTCACTTTATTTAAGTAAGATTATATAGTAAGTAAGTAAGTAAGTAATGTTTATTTATATACCGCCTTTCACAGACAAGGGTCACAAAGCGGTTTACAATTGTTATTATTTTTTATTTTTGGGCACTTGTCCTCTCACTCCAGACAGAGATGGGAGCGGGGTCGCCAAACAGGAGGCGCATGCCAGATCTATTGTACATATTTTTAGTGGTAGGGGAAACAGGAGTACCCGGAGGAAACCTACGCAGACACAGGGAGAACATGCAAACTCCACTCAGAAAGGCCCTGGTCCGACCGGGATTTGAACCCAGGACCTTCTTGCTGAGAGGCGAGAGTGCTATCCACTCAGCCACCGTGCCGCCCACGGTGGCACGGTGTTCCAGCTACTATAAAAGTAGCTGGAACTATTGATGCAACATAATTATAGTTATGATAGCACCAATGCAAGAACTCGTAAAAACATTACCAGCAATAAATATAGGTGAAACTCAGAAAATTACATGTTCATTTATTTCTCTAGTTCAAATCCAACCGCAAAACCAATATACACAATCCAATTACACATAACGTGACAAGTAAGTAAGCCATCTTTATTTATATAGCGCCTTTCACAGACCCAAAGACACAAAGCGCGTTACAATTGTTCTGTTTTTTAAACGCGTTTTCCCTTCACAGAGAGATGGGAGCGGGGCCATACAGGAGGCGCATGGCAGACCTATTGTACATGTTTTTAGTGGTATGGGAAACCGGAGCACCCAGAGGAAACACGGGGAGAACATGCAAACTCCACACAGAAAGGTCCTGGAGGTGGAATCGATCGCTAACCACTGCACCACCATGCCTCAAGCCTATATATAATATACCGATGCATGGGAAAAGAGTGCATAGGCTTGATGCAGAGAAACATATTAATTCTTATTCTTGTCCAAACAGCTCACTGCAGCCGAGTTTCCTCTCTCTGTATATTGAGTAGAACACAAATTCATATTGTCACCGTCTTATGCAAATACAAGGCAGCGTTAGTGGCAGCTCCGTGACACGTCTCTCGGGCGCATGCTTTGACTTGGCCTGACATGCTCCCAGCGAAACGTAAACAAAAGTTATGAGTGCCATCCATAACAATGAACTGACAGTGGTGCCAATGCAAGGACACAGGTTGCACGCATCGGCCCATGGAAAAGTGCAGACACAAGGCGGCTGACGTAATGTCTGATGGGCAGGGGCAGAAGGGGAGTTATGGAGCACTTCAGATGGGACAAGGTGACGCAGTGCATAATGAGAGAGGAAGGCGATACTTGCTCTCAGGGGCCGACGGGGCTGACATCATGAGCACAGTAAGAAGAAACTACTGCTGTTCAGTTTAAGACAAAGGTGGAATGAGCTGGAGAAGAGCCAAGTTTAAACAAAGCCTATGAAATGTATATGAGAGAAATGCATAATATTAGGGCTGCATGAATCTAAAAATCGCAAAGACTGCATTTATACAGTATATAATATTATGATGATAAGTTCTTTTCAACCAAAAAAGGAAATTAAAATTTGCAAAAAAATACTAAAATTTACAAAAGCCAAGACTGTCAACATGTGTTGCAAAACTGAATTTAGTCAGAAAAGATTAAACTACTTCATTTGAGGTTTTATACTGTATATTTTTCCAGTTGTTGCAGTAATATTCATATCATTCATTCATGATTTATATCATTGTAATCATACTTTTGTTACCATAATCTTCCTGGGACATATGACATGTATAGCTTCTATGGGCACTGATTACAGATATAATCCACCTACTGAAGGTTTAGCTACAACAAATCACATATTTATTTTCTTTACCTGGTCTCATTTGAACAAATGTGTGGTGCGAGTTTTTTTTTATGAATTTTGTTTAGAAACTTGTAAGATACTTAACAAAAAACATCTATATTTCATATGAAAAACTGGCAACCCAAATTAAAGCCTTATTCTGCTCTCTGATTGGATAATCTGTTGAAATTCAACAGAAATATTATTTTTAACTCCACTCTAAACTTTTATTCAGAAAAAGTAAAATATTGGACTCAAACATATCACAAGTGATCAGAAATGCCACAATGACTATATATTTTTCCCAAACTACTATATTGGTTTAAAAAAACCACTCATATATTTTTCTTTATCCTTTAGAAACACATTCTATCTCTCACAGTGTCTTAAGAATATCAGCCCAAACCACATCCAAACCAACAGACTAAACCTTGCGTAGTCCAAGCTTGAAAAAAAAAGGAAACATATCATCTAACAATCAACGGCCCACTGCAGGAGAACAGAACAAACCTACAATAATTCAACCATGACGCATCAAAGCAAACTCCCCAACTCCTTCATTTTGTTTTTCCGTTCGCAGGCAGAGCAGAGCAGGGAATGATGAAGCCATAATGATCGCGGCGTATTTCTCGGTGAACAGCTGTAAGCCGCAGCCCTAACTCTTGCGATAAGGCCTTATTGTGCATGAGATAACGGGGGCAGGTGTGATTCCTATTCTGGTGCGTCTGTGATGGATGGTGACCCAATCTGGTGCTGAATCTTCACGCCTCCATCGCGCTCCGTCTTCTTTTGCCAATATTTATGCCTTTGACGGAAGCATATTCCACAGCAGACAGAAGCTCGATAAATCTGATATATAAACAGGCAATAGTGCAGCAGAGAATGGTGGGTCAATGGCAATAAGAGAAGAGGAGGACAGGCTGATTTAACGGTACAGTGGGTAAAGGGCTTTCCAATGGTCTGGACCAGTTATCAGTGCAATGACTGCAATTAGGATGACAAAAACATTAAATCAATCAAAACAATCTCCTGGTTCAACAAATAAGATGCAGAGATAAGGTAGAACAAACATAAAGAAAACCGCAATTATGAAATATTTTGTTTGAAAACTTGATCTATTTGGCAACCTCTCCATTCTTATTGCTACGAGCCTTTGCTACAGATGAAGTTGGCGGAAAGCAGATTATTTCCAGACAAAAAAATGCCAAAGCAATTCTCCCGAATCATCTGTTTATTAGAATGCGGAGGCAAAGGTCAGAGGAGTCCAAAAAAAAAATAAAAAATAACAGTTTGATTTTTTGTTATTTTTTACGTCCCTAGAGTGAAAAATCACTTCTTTGAGACCTGGCTTGTCTTCCATTTGACATCATAAATAGTTGTATGAATGAATCAAATATGTATGAACCGTTCAAAATAACTTCCATTGTGCAAATGACGAGCGATGTCTGTTCAGGTATGGAGAAATAGTTCCACTGAAATCGGAATACATCGCTCTCATTACAGAACAAACAGAAAAAAATACAGAACAAATAGTGCGGAAAGGATAGAGCCTGAGCCGCTTTAACGGACTGATTCGAACGCTCTCGATTTCCCGGTCGGTCTACGTTCTCACCCTCACCTATGGTCATGAGCTGTGGGTAATGACCGAAATCATGGATCCAAGAGTTCTAAATGAGTTCCCTCTGCAGAGTGGCTAGGCGACCCCTGAAAGGCAGTGATGAGCTCAGTCACACGGGAGGAGCTCGGAGTAAAGCCGCCTCGGGGACACGCTGGAGGAGCTATGCCTCTCAGCTGGCCTTAGGAATGCCTTGGGATTCCTCTGAATGAGCTGGAGGAAGTGTGCATGGATAGAGAAGTGTGGGCGTCTCTCCACTTATACTGCTTAGAGATTCCCTTAAAACCATAGTATATGAAGTGGTTTGACTCCACCTCCGGGCCTTTCTGAGTGGAGTTGGCATGTTTTCTCCAGGTCTGCTCCGGTTTCCTCCTGGTGCTGCAGTTTCCCCTACCACTAAAAACATGTATAGGTCTGGCATGTATGGTGAGTGTGTGGAGTGAGAGACAAATGCCCAAAAAACACCCCAACAATTATGAAGCGCTTTGTGATCCTGGTCTGTGAAAGGCGCAATATTAATAAAGATTACTCACTTGCTAATGGTATATGACTTTCTGCAGGCGGTTTATCATACTAGAGGAATGAGTCAAACCTGATCTATAGAGACAGATTATAGTTTTTTGCCATTCTGTGAGAGCATACAGTATCGCCAGCATTAGAACAGCATTTCCATAGAAACAAACTAGGCCTTTAAATAGTGTGAGCAAAATGGGTGTAGGATTTGCTATAGTTTTAGCACTCACTCTCGATTCTTGTGGTAGCTGCATCTCTTGAGTGGGATCTTGATGACCTGGTCGCGCACGCCCACGTAGAGCTCGCTGCGGCTGTGCAAAATGAGCAAACTCCGGATGACCTGCCTCTTCCGGGGCGGGAACAATTCAATCTCCTCCAACAGGCAACTGCCCGTCGACTGATTGAGAGGCGAGAGCACTTTCCGGATTGTCCCATAATCTGCAAAAAACACAGAATTGTCAAATAGGGGATTAACAGGCGAGCGTGGCACGGGTACAAAGAGCTATTACAGTTTTCTACATTGTTTATAAGTGGAGCACATCATTACATTGTGAAGTGAAGCATACTTTGTAGCAAAAAAAGTCTATTGACGCCGAGGCTTATGCCATCACCATGCAACCATGAAAATGGCATGGCAACGGAATAACTAATTTTTATGTCCTACTTTTTTTCTTTTCTTCTGCGTAAAAAAACCTCTTCTAACAGAACCAAGTGTTGAAACCTTGTCATTGTGAATACACCTTGACCTTTTTATTTTTAAATCCGCGTGTAAGGCAGAGGCCCCTGTGGGAATTGGTTATAGGTGCAGATTCTCTTCCTGAAGTGCTTAAACAAACATAATCCATTACACATGCGTCCCCTGGGTGCAGAAAAAGTAATTAGGTAACGTGCAATGCCAGGGGAAAAGGGTGAATTGCTAATGCAGTTGAAAGTTTACTGGCAAATTTATGGGAAGGTCGGGAAAGTGATGCTGATTTGCTGTACTCGCTATAGTGCATCATGAGAGTATCAGGATTTAACAGTGAGGGTAAAGGGACACGCTTTATTTTACACACCTCTCTGTTGCATAGCGCGCTTGTCATTGCCATGTTATTTTTGATCTGAATTTAATAACATCGTTATCAACTGCAATGTCAAATGCAGAAACATAATATATACAGTGGGTTGCATAAGTACTAATACAGCGTCACGATTTTGTCATGTTTATAAACGCAAGTGGGAAGTGGAAGCGAAATGATTTGCTACAAAGTAAAATGAAAGTGGGGCCAGACTGATTGTGATAATCTGTGGGAAGACCTGAAAACTTGCTCACAAAAGCTCTCCATCTAAATTTGATAGAGGTGTTTTGTAAAGAAGAATCGGAAAAACGTTCAAAGCCTGTGCAAAGCTTGTAGAGAAATACTGCAAAAGACTTAAGACTTGTAATTGCAGCATTAAGGGTGTTGCACAAAGTACTAACTCATACTCACATTTATATTTGTACAATGAATATTCATCATTTCTATTTTTGTTTTCACTTCGCAGTTGTTTGTTACTTTGTTGTGGTTGTAAAACATGACAAAATGTGCTAAATCTAAAGTTAAGTATAAGTACTTTTGCAAGCCGATCTTGATAGCATATTTTGCTTAAGTCTCCAGAAGTACCAGAAACATATTGACAAATTTACAGGTGCATAAACATCCAACTCGAACTGTTGTAAAGGGGAGAGTTTTATTGAGAAATCGGGCCTTATTAATACAAACTACAAATGCAAAAGGCTTGAAGGTGAGTATTTTTTTTAATCTCTGCAGCGGAATGTGGACTAAATATGCAGTTATACTGGTATGTGCACATAAATATGAAACTAAAACATCAATGAATTTCAAATAAGACATTGCAGGGAACCCAAACGAACACCAAGCCAAGTCCTTATAGCTCATAAAGATATCAATTGGTGAACAGCAGCCACAACGATCTGGACGTGTTAATAATACATGTGATTAGGTACAGTGAGTCCACTCGGGGCGACAGTCTTGGCAGAGCGTCTGATCTTTTCATTAGTGTTCTCTCTGCGTCGGGGGAGCTCTGGATGTGGGCAGCTTCACTCTAACGCCGCATTGATCACAGCCCCATGCAAACAATGAGAGATTCTTAAACTGAAAATGCCACGCCGAGCACAGCCAAACCCACCTGTCTGCGAGAAAGAGAGAGAGAGAGAGAGAGAGAGAGAGAGAGAGACATCCCCAAAATACCAGCAGATCCGAGGAACGATCATGTTGACATTTCCCAGAAGGTGCTGGTACATTAGTGAAGTGGGTCAGGCCTGTATATAGAATCTTACATCACACGGCTCATGTCTATTGTCTTGCAGGCCTTCCCCAGCACTTTGCCTCACACTTTAGTGATCAAAGACGGACCAATCAGAAGGAGGGGCAGCGCTTTTCCGATCAGTGCTGCAGAGGACGAGGTGCAGAGAGAAAGAGGTGGATCTAATATAAAGACCAAAGGGAAATGATAAAACTTAAACTGATTTAATCTTTATCTATTTATTGGCGTTGATTTAACTAGTGTTTTCCCACTGAGATTCAGAGTCTATAATAAGGGCAGTGTCTTCAGCACAGAGGGCAGTCAGTATAGAGTATTTTTTATGTTGGATTTGGCAACCTGTGGGGGTCAAGTGTTCTCTTTTGGGAACGTGTGTGTTATGCGTGTGTACATCTGCAAGTGTGTGTGTGCGTGTGCATGTGTGTGTGTGTGTGTGTGTGTGTGTGTGAAAGTAATATACAGTACATATGTGTTAAGAAAGTGTAGGTGTGTGTGCGTGTGTCTGTGTGTATGTGTCTGTGTGTGGGATTATAGTATACAGTAGGGGGGTGACGATATATCGATGTTTGGATATATCGCAATACTTTCTCCCGCGATTCGATTATCGATATGCATTTACCAAGTATCAATATCGATTATTATTTTTTTTTAAATTGGATCAATACTTAATATATGGCTACATTACGCATCTCCATTCTATTTATCATGAAATAAAGAGTATTTTTTCTTTTATTTATGCCATAAATTGGCATATTGTATATTTCTAACCAATATATCAATAATCGTCATATCGTGATAATATCGTTATCGTGATAATATCGTTATCGTGATAATATCGTTATCGTGATATTGTTATCGTGATATTATCGTTATCATGAGCTTTGTATCGTGTATCGTATCGTATCGTGAGGTACCCTTAGGTTCCCACCCCTAGTATACAGTACAAGTGTGTAGGCGTGTGTGTGCATATGTGTCTGTGTGGGGATGTGTGTGTGTGTGCATATGTGTCTGTGTGGGCATGTGTGTGTGTGCGTGTGTGTGTGTACAACAATCACTAATTCTATCATATTCTATTCTGTTGTTTGGACACCAATAGAAAAAATCTACATTCAACAAGTCGTCAGTCTTCTGCGATATGCCATGCAAATTAGAACAAATCAGGAGTAGGAGTATTCAAATAAAAATCGCGATTGGCACTTTGCGTGTTTACACCAGCACTTCTAAGAAAGCATGTGTGATCTACGAGTATGTTGGCATTTGTGTTGCATTATAAACGGTGCATGTGGGGGACAGATGTAGATAAGCGGCCTCACACTCCGGTCGGGAGACAAAAGCTTTGATGTCTCCTTCAGAGCGGCTCTCTCTTTTTTTTGATTTTGTTCTTTGCTTGGGGGAAAGACAGACACCCACCTGTGGCCAAGTAGATGATGTGAAACAGCGTATCTTTGCCTTGCACCACGTCCACAGCTACGTGAGTGAAACGCACGTTGTCCTCCATAAAGTAGGGCACCGGAACCACGGGCTGGACCACCTCATGCATTAGTAAGAACTTCTGAGCGTCCTGCAGGTTCCTCTCGGTCAGATTCACGTAGGTGCCGGAGTCAATGGTGCCGCACTGAAGAGATACGGAGAAAAGAAGAAGGGGGCAAAAGTTCAGCGACGCCATTTATACTGTAGACTCAGCAGTAAATCAGGTACGTTTGTATAGACCTGGATTTCTTTTTTTGTGTGCAGGAGAGCTAACTCTGACAGCACTGAATGTTATATTGCCTACGTTAGTTCATCATTCCGTATCAAGAATGGTATAAGCCAAGTTTGGTGAAAGTGGGGAAAGCTGCAGAGGAGAAGAAAATCGTGGTCGATGATTCCAAACTTTGCAATAAATAAAACAACTTTAAAATCTATATCGCTGGTTCTCAGACGTTGTACCCCGAACTTAGAAGATACTTAACTTTTCAAGTATAACCAGGTCTGATTATTTGCTCTTCCTTGTACCTACCTTATCATAAACATTAAAGATGACATTTTTGTGGGTCAAAAGTGAGGGCTAAATTAGGTCTGTGCTACGTCTGCAGATCCAACCAAAATAAGAAAAAAAAGAAGAAAGAAGCTCACATTGAACTCAACAATTTAGGAAAGAATTGCCCTCTCCACTTTTTGAACAATTTTCTCTAGTCTTAATTGATGAGCACATATTAAGATTAAGATTAAGAGATCCTTTATTCCCACAGTGGATACATTTCCGTGTTGCATCACAAGTTATAGAACAGTAGGAATGAGGAGCACACAGCACAAGATAAGTGAATAAAAGCTGTACTAATTAAAATAAAACACAATCTCTAACTCAGAATGATTGACAACTGCGAGGACCAATAGTCTTGATGATCCACCCGGAAGTAGAAAATCCTCCTTATACACCTTTTAATTTTTAGAAACACTATATATATATATATATATACACACGCATGAAGGCAGAGTAAGGAAATGCAACATTTACACAAGACTTACACCAGAGCAACTTGAGCGACATTCCCTCATGCATGTTGCAGGGAGGCCACTAGAGGAGGTGATGAGGAGAACGGAGTGAAAAAGGCGGGCAGAGCTAAAAGAGTTGACTTGAATTTGACCTCATGCTAATTTTGAGCGACGACAAGTCAGTGATCTGCAGCTTTGGACGGATGTATGTGAGGAATTGGCCCAAGCACAAACCTCAGCCTCTTCCGGTCAAAAGGGTTTAAGTGCTTTTGGTGTGACCTGGTATTAGATAGACCCATACCCATAGGCACTTCATCCAACGGGCTCGGAGGGGCTGGAGCCTCGGGGGCCTACCATAGTCAAGGGCCGACCAGAATTGAGGAAAAAAAAGGAAAAACGAGGATGTATGTTTGTCAACCACTTAACCAGGTTTTCTTGTCTTGGTTGAATTGTTATATCTTTTTGTTTTAACATTAAAGATTGATATTTTCATGTACACGTGGTAAGATGTCATTTAACACTATAACTACATTTTAAAGTAGCAGGGTTAAGGTTTTTGGATTTAGGCCTAGAGTTGGCACTGAAGTGGAGCCTACAATCTGGGTTCCATATCAAAAGTCAAAAATCTCAGAAAACTATAAAAAGTCTTTCTCTACTGCCTTCATTTGGTCTGTTCCATCAGTGGGTGAGTCACAGCACACAGTTCCTTTTATCAGATGTTTTTTTAAATATTTTTTTCAACAACACAAACCACAGCGCTATTGTCAAGGGTTTTTAAACAAGTCAAGCTAGTCAAATCCTAGAAAAGGCAGTAAATCCGCTCCCCTCTTTGGTCCATGTTATTTAAAAACGACTAATACTGGTAGATTGAGACGCACAGAAAGGACAGCTTTGACTGAACGATGAACAATAACCTCTGCCTTTGCTCTTCAATATTTGCGAGAAGGCTGTGGATTTGGGGGCCACCTGAGATAGCAGACGAGGGATTGCATGATTAACAGAACAAGGCTTTAAAGTCAAACGCCGTCTCTGTGCATCAACGTTCCCCCCCGCACCCCTTTATGCTTTGTAGTCGATACGTGCAGGTTGATGAAAGGTGAGACTGAGTTCGTAGATTTCTCTTTTCATTGGATTTACTTCATATGCATAGATATTGCTGCCAAGAAGTATCGGAGTTCAATAAGAGTGTTCCAGGTGTATTTAACATGCGTCTACATTAATAACTTTAAAAAGGTTACCGTGGGCTTCATTACGAATCTTCATAATCAAAAATAAATGTTGGTTTCGGAAAACATGGCAACGCGGTTTGAACAAAGGTGCTGCTAATAATGACTGTAAAATGGGATGTTATAAAAGCTGCGATCAATAACTGCCATGATTGCATATTAAAGGGATTTCTTCACTGTCTCAAGAGCAGTTTAAAACCTGAAGTCAAAAGTTCAAATTTAATGAGGTACAAATATGGAATACACACATGTACTTTCAGCACAATTATAAGCAGGCAGAAACCACTGTTAAATAAGTGAATAATGGGATTTTAGTGGTGGCAATTTTAACTCTGCTCTATGGCTCCGCTGTGCAGTACACGCAGCAATGGGTCAGAGCAGCCATTCCCAAACTCAGTAACACCGAGGCCCCCTTAAAAATCTGACGGGTCTGCGTGGCCCCCCAAAATAATAACCAAGAAGACAACATTAAGAATAGGCTCTTCTGGTTATTTTATTTTGGGGAAATAGCCTCTGCTACAAACATTGTAATACAAAAATGATTACAGTGGATTATTCAAGTCAAATAATGAACACAAATATTTTAATATTACAAACAAAACATTATAAATTTAACATTAAATAATTATATATTTTTTTTATTTTTTTTATGACCTCCCGCGGCCCCCCTGCAGTACCCACGCGGCCCACCAGGGGGCCGCGGACCCCACTTTGGGAGACACTGGGTCAGAGGAAGCAGCATTAAACACAAGTGGAATACAAAATTAACTGCAGCCAACTTTCTATTACTGCACTGAGCAAGAGGATACTCTCCCAGATGCGATATGTAATACACTCAGCCACTGCCGCACACTTCTCAAATTAACGGCTGCGTCAAATGCATGAACATGCATTGTGAAAAGGCTCCTATATATAATGTGCAGAAGGTTGTGAAGACACCTTATTTCACCTGCACGATAAAGAATTAAATCTGCGTTTGTTACCGCAGATACAGCATTCCACTTTAGATCACGAGAGTTGTTAATGCTATTGATAATGAACCATACTTTCTGGACTATTAGGCGCACCTGCATATAAGCCGCACATTTAAAAAGAAAGTACATTTTGTCCACATGCCCGGGGGGATTCAGTGGATGGCCCTCTCGCTTCTCGGTAGGAAGGACCTCGGTTCTAACCTGGCAAAATCCAGATTGATGATTGTGTAGAACTCTAACGCGTTCTCCGCAATATCAATCTGGGATTTCTCCCGGAGAATCCTTTCGGGGAAAGGAGGGGTAAGCAGCAGAATACTTGAAGCTGATTGGGAGAAGTGACGCTGTGTGCCCGCCTACCAAGGTTGCCGTCCAGAAATGTACAAAGCGCCTCTCGCTGTTCATCTTTCAAAAAAGAAATTGGAGATTCTGCTAAAACTGACTTTGCGTCCGTCCTCCTGCGTAGCCATGTTTGTTTTGCTTCGGCCCGGCACTTCTTGCTTTCGTCAAACCCGGATATCCCGCCCTAAACCCCCAGACTGGCGCGTGATTGGCTCGCACACCCAGTGGTTCGACTCGAAAAGTGTAAGCGGGAGCGGTACAAGATGTATTCTCGAGTGTTTGTGAACTCACAAATACCGCGAGAATTCAGCTTGCAGGCAAGGTTACCTCGGTTCGAATCTCGGTTGGAACAGGGCCTTTCTGAGTGGAGTTTGCATGTTCTTCCTGTGTCTGCATAGGTGTCCTCCGAGTGCTCCGGTTTTCCCCTACCACTAAAAACATGTAGGACTGGCAAGAGCCTCCTGTATGGGTACCTCTGTGTGGAGTGAGAGACAATTTCCCAGAATTGTAAAGCGCTTTGTGACTCTGGTCTGTGAAAGGCGCTATATAATAAAAAATCAGTAGGCCACATTTGAGTATAAGCTAAAGTTTTTCATGTTGTAATGTAGCAGATAGACGACTGTTTTGACTCGTCACAACAGATTAACCGTTAGCTTCCATGCCGGTGATGATAAACTAGTGTCTTACAGCAACTAAAACTTCCATAAACTCTGCTCTGACAACTCTACCTCAATAAAAATACCCAAATTAGCTGCATCGTTATTGCCGCAGGGTTCAAAGAAATAGAAAAAGTTGCTGCTTGTAGTCCGAAAATTACAGTATGTTGTTTAGATGCTTTAAGTGGCTTTAAAATTTTGTTTTTCTCTATCACTGTGTCCTCAGAAGGATACTTAACGGAGCATCTGAATGTGGTCTTACCCAGAGGAGTTTGCACAGAGCCCCACTGCAGCACCTGTAATTCTCCCTTTTGTCCCTGCTTCTTAAATCAGGTCCATGGATGGCTGTAGCTCAGTTGGTAGAGTATGTATTCTCAGAGGGTTGGTTCCTCCTGACATAAACATAAATGGTTGAGCGGCCAAATTGACTGACCCATAAAGTGCACCTTTACCTTTACTTTACCACATGTGATGACGCTTAACCCGCTTCGACCCCAGTGACTGTGTACAGTGGTGCATGAATGTGTGTGTGATACTTTGACGCCTAAAGGGTAATTTATAAGATGGCGTTGCAGTCTCCCTTCATACAGCTCGCATCCTTGTGATTATGTTTTGTGTGCATTGTCCATCATGGTCGGATGAGCAAAGTGGGGGCTGCGAGACATTGCCTCAACATATGAATGAAGATGGTGAGTTTAATCAAGTGTGTAAGCAATATAAAACTAGTTAACACCATTACATTGAACATTTTAGACAATGTCGTCACAACCATGTAATAAACTGGGCTCAAACGACTAACTTACTAAGACATCAGCATATGATTCATTCAAAATAAAGGTTTAATAATAATTAGCAGACATTTATCACACATTTTTGACAGCGTTGATCAAAAATAAGGTAAATACATGAAAAACAAAACAAAAGCCTACTGAAAGTCTGGACAAG